GCGGGGGGGGGCGGCCGTTCAGTATTTTTAAAAAAAATACAGTTGTAGCTATTGTACAGTGTCTGGGATCCCAAGGTCACAGGAGACAGGACTATGGCCAAGACTTATTTCTGGCAAAGCTTCAGATCACTTGTGAAAAGAAAACACCCTGCTCTTCTGGAAAAACAAACCAAGCTATGTTTGTTCTCAAATGACAGTGCCATGGATTCCTGAAAGGAAATTCAGATCTACATTAACACTAATGACAAGAGCTCTTGCTCTAACTTGGCTTCAACTACTGCAGAAATTCCACTTCTCAAAACTTTCAAGGACAAGTTTTACTCATTGTTTACGTCAACTTTGCAAGCTGTGCATACTCACCAATGATTGAAATAGGCTTCCTAGCAAAACGAAGCCTTCCCCATATTCCAACGTATTTACTGCGGCATCCTGCTGACCATAACCGAACCACATACTCTGTTCCAAAGAATACCACTAATACAATTTCCTAAAAGAAACAGAGAACTAGATTAATTCTCTACTCTATGACTTTCATCTTTTTTCAGAATGAATTAGGAAACGCTAAAATAAAATGTAAAATTTGGAAGGTGAGAAAAATGTCAACTATACCAAAATGATCTAAAGTAATATAGAAAAACCTGTCAAAGTAAAGAAAGAAAAGATTAAGAGCAAGTTTAAATACTTTAATTGCATGCAGTTTGGCTTGTCTACACGTACTAAAACTGAAAACCATTCTGTACAATTCACTTGGTCTAATTCAAACAAAAGGTTTCCCGACTGAGCCAAAGAAAACAAGCACAGTCTGTATTCAGAAGATGAGCATTTTGCTAGCTTATTTCATTTCGGGAAGAGGTGTGCTTCACATTCCATTTACCATATCAGCTTAACCTCCCACTTATTTATACTTTTTCAGTCTTCCTTTAACCTCACATGAACTGAAGAAAGATTTCTAGTACCCATTACCAATACGTCAGTCTCCAGGTGCTCTGAAAACATAGTGAGATCTCAAGCACACCTTTCCCATCCTCCTGTCAACAATTAGAGATTTCAGCAGAAACAGAGGTCTAGTCCTGAAGCACTGCTGGTATCAAGCTATGTGTCAACCACAGACCTATGCTAGGGTCTGACTTTGGAAATGCCTACAAAGTGATACATGTGAAAGACATCTGACATTCTTGTGGATTAGACAGAGGTACAATTATGTCATATTTGGAACTTAGTCAATGTGCAGATACACCTTGCTTTTCTACAGACTGGTTGAGCACCGCACACTCAGCATAGTTTCTTCAAGTATCAGGGAGCTGCAATACTTCCTTATTGGCCAACTTGATTAATAACTTGCCACATTCTCTATCAGAGCCAACAGCAAAATCTACTAATTGGAATGGTAACAGTGGCTTGTAATTGAAAAGACACAACACATGGCATATGGGAAGAATAAAGCAGAGAAACCAATCATAAGGTATCACAGTTATATAGGATAATGCAGATTAAGAGAACGAGCTGCTTATTTCATAGAATGATTTAACATAAAGAGCAACTGCAGAGAAGACATGCTACTCAACATTTTATCCAGCCTCCTCACATTTCTGGAGGGTTCACTGCTGTTTTTCATAACAGATTGGCAAACGGGACTCAAGATGGTACCTATGATTGTTTTCTAAATTAACTGAAATAACCAGGATACAACCCTAGTCCAGTCAAGATGAATGGGAGCCATATTATTAGCTTCAAAAATGCATGGGACATTGCCCTGAGTACTGAGTAAAATAATAGGTCTGTATACAGCAAAAAGAGGGGAAAAAAACATTATGCATCAGTTGACTTTGCTATAATCTTTTCGCGGCTCTAAAATGCCAGTCTCCTGATGGCATAACAAACTGTTCATCTCAGGGCACTACAGTGTTGAAGTTCGACTCTGTGACACTGCTAGAAAAGCTAGGAGAACATTAGCCAGTACTCTTTCCCTTAGTTTTGACAATCTCATAACCTGTGCAAGATGTCAGATGCAGCAGAACAGCTATCACAATTGTTTATAGTCACTTATATTCCAGTTAGATTTTCAAGATATAATGAAACTGTCTACATCATTGGTTGTAATAAACATGAAGCTCAGACCCTTCGACCCAGCCAAGAATATCTTCTACAGCTTCGTTCCGAAAGGAGCCACCAGAACCCTTCACTTTTTTTTTTTTTTTAAATTGGACTACTATTAAATATTTTTCAATAAAATAAAGTCATAATGAACGTCATAAATCTAAAGAAACAACATCTGCAGCAGACGCTTTAAGGAAAGCCTGTGTCTTATGACAGAAGCTTCAAACACAATGAAACTCTCCCTTTGCCCAATTTCACCTAATGTCATTTACAAACCTACAGTGAATGGCAAAATTATGAGCCCTGCTTTACATGAGGTGCTGTTGAATTGTCACAGCAAAATAAAACACCAGAGGCCGTCTTTTCCAATCAGGTGATTGTATTCATTTCACAGACATGGTCAATAAACTCTAATATCCAAGTATTCTTCTGTGTGCAGAAGGCTAGTACATCTCCTTTCATTGCTACCACGGAGAAAACTCCCTTAACAGAAGACAATAGCAACCATACAGGGAGGAAAAAACTGTCCTTCATTCAAAATAACTAATTTGAGGAAAGGATGTATGGCCTCACACCATATGTGATAGCACAGATAATACTGTTCAGATATCCCCAAAAGCAAAAGAACAACAAAAAAATTATCTTGATAGGCAAAGAAAAACCCAGAAAAAAGTTAATGTTTTAGCACAATGAAACCACAAACAGCACTCTGACGAGACACCATGGCCTTGTCAGGATCATAGTTTCAGTTTTATAGCAAGAAGGTAGAAAGTGAAAGCCTGGATTGTACTTTAAAGAAGTGTGTATTCTCTGCGTAGAAAATTTGCATCAGAGTTGTGTGCGTATGTTTTTTAAAGGCCCTCCATGGTTCATTGGATAACAGGCACACCAGCAAGTATGCAAATGGGGGCTGTCCCAAAGACAATGCGACAGACACACAGTCAATGGTTACTGTCATCGAGCTCTTTGCGTGACATGCAGACAAGCTTAGAGAACATTGATTGTCCTATAGACTCCGGTGACTGGAGGGAACGGCCAGTCGGCTTACACCAAGACACATTTTTCACTCCTGACGTTTTGATAAAGGCTTATTGACCTAAATGAGACCCAAGTTATTCAGGGAACATCAGGGGTGAAAGTGCACAAGCTGTTCTTCATGGTCATACACAAAAACTTCAGGTATCCATTAGCAACTGGCAAATTCCCCCTCCCCTGCCCGTGGCTGTGTGATGGACAAAAGTGGTTTTAATATCTTGCACTGCATAAGTCTAATAAGTAGTCTCCTGGGGGTGGGGGAGGCTGATGAATTTCTGTCAGTACACACTTATGTTAGCGGCCAGAAACTTGCAGACAACAAGGAAAAAAATACATTTGAAAATTATGCCTTCCTGAGCTACTAAAATATTGCCTATATTTTCCCAATTAATAGCTTAACATGAAATTTTACATTACCTAGAAGGATGCCAACCTGATCCTTAGTTCATTTAGGCTGGTGGTAATTAGGGCTAATTCCATTTAATAGGAGTTACCCTCACAGAGAGCAGCAATGCCTCACACCTGAGAATTTCAGCAAATCTGAGTTGCACTACAGATTAATTTGGTCCACTGTTTCTTCGATACTTTCTTCTAATTGCCTGCTTAACACATACCTACTAAGTGCACTGTATAAAAATTTGTGCTTCTCACAATGTATCAGCTAGACTGAAACATAGCTTCGAGAAGCTGATATAGGAAAATGGAAGAATAAAGTGCTGAGCGGACAGATAGGATGTAAAGAATGGGTGAAATAAACAAAGCAACATTCAGCACAAGGGAAAAATTAAAATACAGAAAAAATAACTGCCTGCAAAACACTAGTAGGAGTGGGGATTAAAGCTAAGTGGAGGAGTTTTCTTGGTTAAAATTACAGACACACAATAACTGCACTGTGCAAGGACCCACTCAACCCTATGTAACTTAATTGTGATCTCCTTTTTACAAGGTGAAAACAGAAATACTAAACTGAGATAAAAAACTTATACTGACATGGTAAAAAGAGGCCTCTGAGATGTGACAGTCGTGTACCTTCATACTGTAGGCATACAGGAGCCCTCTTGCTTAAGAGGAGAGACATTTTTTCCTTTTAATTATTGATTTGTACATGGTACCCTCACTTCTGCCATCCTTCCTGCTCAGCCCAGGCATATGCTTAATGCCATCTTCATGCCTTCTCAGCCACGTACTCCCAACACAGCCAAGTACCAGATTAATTCTGGATGAAAAAGTAGAGAAGGTGAACATGAGATACACAAGATACACTTGTAGATTGCTTTTCTTGAAGAACTCTATCAGTGTCGGTAACTCTCCAGCTGTGAGCAACTTCTCACATGTAAATTCACAACACTTTCAGCTAAAAGGAACAGGCAGACAAGGCTAGTGTAACAAGCTTTGGGCATTTCTGCTGTGGTACAGTGCTTGGTGAAACTACAATAGATCTCCAGGTAACCATTTACCAGATGCCAGGGAATGAACTGTTTCTCATAAAGACCAGTAAAGGAGCTTGAGTCCTCACTGCTGCATTGGTGCAGGAGTGGGGTCAGCGTGTGAGACCCATTTCAGAAGTCTCACAACAGATCTTTCAGTGCATCTCACTACTCACTTTCACGGTTTTGACATGGAAACAGAAGTTCCTTTGAGTTGATCAGGTACAGCTTTGGGAATTGCTTCAAGTATAATGAAAGAGCCATCAAAACATAAAAATCATCCTCAGCCCAAGACAGATATGTCATAACTTAATCACCTGGCTAAAGTACAGCTCTCATCACCTTATGAAGGAACTTGGGCAGGATCCATAAAAACATAGTCCCCTGACAAACATACCCACGCTATCTGTCATTACAGCCCATAACACCACAGTTCCCATGGATTAATCACAGTTTCATAATTAAACCCACACAGGGAACACAGAGAAGGGCTCAACGAACAGCTGTGATGAAAAGCCCATGTATTAGGTTCGACTTACACCAAAGAACTGGACCTGTTATGGGTAAGGACACTTTAACTATCGCCTTGACAAACTTTGGGATGCCATTAGGCAAAAGAACAAGAAAGTCCCTTCCATCAGAGGACAACAGGGAAAAGTTACTTATGAAAAGGACTGTGACCGAGCTGAAGTAGGAACCAGACGTCTTCAGCTCTGTGACTAGAGAGTCAGATCTATGAAAACAAATACACACAAGTATATTAGCAAAATGAATATCTAGTTTATTTTGCTAATAAATGCATCTTGAAAAGCCTTTCCTTTACTACTCCACCCCCACTGGATTGGAAGAGCTACAATCCGATGTTGGGAGGCATCCAACATCCACACTGTGAGATAAAGTGCTGTAGCAACTCCAAAAGGAAGGACAG